GAAAGGCCCCACTGGAAGGTTTTTTTGGGAGTTAGGCCCATTCGGTATTTGTAGATTTTCAAAGTTGTTGTTATAGAAAAAAATACGTCTTCACCTTACACTCTTTCGGTAAGCCTCGCCAGCTTCGTACGGCAAAGTTCGCTACCGGACATGGCTCAAATGAAAGGTAATAACTTAGGAAAGGCCCCACTGGAAGGTTTTCTTGGAAGTTAGGCCCATTCGGTATTTGTAGATTTTCAAAGTTGTTGTTATAGAAAAAAATACGTCTCCACCTTACACTCTTTCGGTAAGCCTCGCCAGCTTCGTACGACAAAGTTCGCTACCGGACATGGCTCAAATGAAAGGTAATAACTTAGGAAAGGCCCCACTGGAAGGTTTTTTTGGGAGTTAGGCCCATTCGGTATTTGTAGATTTTCAAAGTTGTTGTTATAGAAAAAAATACGTCTTCACCTTACACTCTTTCGGTAAGCCTCGCCAGCTTCGTACGGCAAAGTTCGCTATTGGACATGGCTCAAATGAAAGGTAATAACTTAGGAAAGGGCCCACTGGAAGGTTTTTTTGGGAGTTAGGCCCAATCGGTATTTATAGATTTTCAAAGTTGTTGTTATAGAAAAAAATACGTCTCCACCTTACACTCTTTCGGTAAGCCTCGCCAGCTTCGTACGGCAAAGTTCGCTACCGAACATGGCTCAAATGAAAGGTAATAACTTAGGAAAGGCCCCACTGGAAGGTTTTTTTGGGAGTTAGGCCCATTCGGTATTTGTAGATTTTCAAAGTTGTTGTTATAGAAAAAAATACGTCTTCACCTTACACTCTTTCGGTAAGCCTCGCCAGCTTCGTACGGCAAAGTTCGCTACCGGACATGGCTCAAATGAAAGGTAATAACTTAGGAAAGGCCCCACTGGAAAGTTTTCTTGGAAGTTAGGCCCATTCGGTATTTGTAGATTTTCAAAGTTGTTGTTATAGAAAAAAAGACGTCTCCACCTTACACTCTTTCGGTAAGCCTCGCCAGCTTCGTACGACAAAGTTCGCTACCGGACATGGCTCAAATGAAAGGTAATAACTTAGGAAAGGCCCCACTGGAAGGTTTTTTTGGGAGTTAGGCCCATTCGGTATTTGTAGATTTTCAAAGTTGTTGTTATAGAAAAAAATACGTCTTCACCTTACACTCTTTCGGTAAGCCTCGCCAGCTTCGTACGGCAAAGTTCGCTATTGGACATGGCTCAAATGAAAGGTAATAACTTAGGAAAGGGCCCACTGGAAGGTTTTTTTGGGAGTTAGGCCCAATCGGTATTTATAGATTTTCAAAGTTGTTGTTATAGAAAAAAATACGTCTCCACCTTACACTCTTTCGGTAAGCCTCGCCAGCTTCGTACGGCAAAGTTCGCTACCGGACATGGCTCAAATGAAAGGTAATAACTTAGGAAAGGACCCACTGGAAGGTTTTTTTGGGAGTTAGGCCCATTCGGTATTTGTAGATTTTCAAAGTTGTTGTTATAGAAAAAAATACGTCTCCGCCTTACACTCTTTCGGTAAGCTTCGCCAGCTTCGTACGGCAAAGTTCGCTACCGGACATGGCTCAAATGAAAAGTAATAACTTAGGAAAGGCCCCACTGGAAGGTTTTTTTGGGAGTAAGGCCCATTCGGTATTTGAAGATTTTCAAAGTTGTTGTTATAGAAAAAAATACGTCTCCACCTTACACTCTTTCGGTAAGCGTCGCCAGCTTCGTACGGCAAAGTTCGCTACCGGACATGGCTCAAATGAAAGGTAATAACTTAGGAAAGGCCCCACTGGAAGGTTTTTTTGGGAGTTAATCTCATTCGGTATTTGTAGATTTTCAAAGTTTTTGTTATAGAAAAAATACGTCTCCACCTTACACTCTTTCGGTAAGCCTCGCCAGCTTCGTACGGCAAAGTTCGCTACCGGACATGGCTCAAATGAAAGGTAATAACTTAGGAAAGGCCCCACTGGAAGGTTTTTTTGGGAGTTAGGCCCATTCGGTATTTGTAGATTTTCAAAGTTGTTGTTATAGAAAAAAATACGTCTTCACTTTACACTCTTTCGGTAAGCCTCGCCAGCTTCGTACGGCAAAGTTCGCTACCGGACATGGCTCAAATGAAAGGTAATAACTTAGGAAAGGCCCCACTGGAAGGTTTTTTTGGGAGTTAGGCCCATTCGGTATTTGTAGATTTTCAAAGTTGTTGTTATAGAAAAAAATACGTCTCCATCTTACACTCTTTCGGTAAGCCTCGCCAGCTTCGTACGGCAAAGTTCGCTACCGGACATGGCTCAAATGAAAGGTAATAACTTAGGAAAGGCCCCACTGGAAGGTTTTTTTTGGGAGTTAGGCCCATTCGGTATTTGTAGATTTTCAAAGTTGTTGTTATAGAAAAAAATACGTCTCCATCTTACACTCTTTCGGTAAGCCTCGCCAGCTTCGTACGGCAAAGTTCGCTACCGGACATGGCTCAAATGAAAGGTAATAACTTAGGAAAGGGCCCACTGGAAGGTTTTTTCGGGAGTTAGGCCCATTCGGTATTTATAGATTTTCAAAGTTGTTGTTATAGAAAAAAATACGTCTCCACCTTACACTCTTTCGGTAAGCCTCGCCAGCTTCGTACGGCAAAGTTCGCTACCGGACAAGGCTCAAATGAAAGGTAATAACTTAGGGAAAGCCCCACTGGAAGGTTTTTTTGGGAGTTAGGCCCATTCGGTATTTGTAGATTTTCAAAGTTGTTGTTATAGAAAAAAATACGTCTCCATCTTACACTCTTTCGGTAAGCCTCGCCAGCTTCGTACGGCAAAGTTCGCTACCGGACATGGCTCAAATGAAAGGTAATAACTTAGGAAAGGGCCCACTGGAAGGTTTTTTCGGGAGTTAGGCCCATTCGGTATTTATAGATTTTCAAAGTTGTTGTTATAGAAAAAAATACGTCTCCACCTTACACTCTTTCGGTAAGCCTCGCCAGCTTCGTACGGCAAAGTTCGCTACCGGACATGGCTCAAATGAAAGGTAATAACTTAGGGAAAGCCCCACTGGAAGGTTTTTTTGGAGTTAGGCCCATTCGGTATTTGTAGATTTTCAAAGTTGTTGTTATAGAAAAAATACGTCTCCACCTTACACTCTTTCGGTAAGCCTCGCCAGCTTCGTACGGCAAAGTTCGCTACCGGACATGGCTCAAATGAAAGGTAATAACTTAGGAAAGGACCCATTGGAAGGTTTTCTGGGAGTTAGGCCCATTCGGTATTTGTAGATTTTCAAAGTTGTTGTTATAGAAAAAAATACGTCTGGCCACCACAGGGGTTCAAAGTTGTCCCTATAGGTACTTTTCGTATTAACTACACATGCTTTCGGTACTCCTCGGCAACTCCCTACGGCAAAGTTCCAAACCAGACCTAGCTCATTTTAGAGGTGTTGACCTAGGTTATTCCTTGCTTAAATATTTTTCTGAGATCCGGGCCCGTTTAACCACAGTTTTAGTTATATATCATTTATTTGTACTGGCACATTTGACAAGGAAAGTTTCAGTTTTAATTCAATGAGTTGGTAATGATGCATGCCGTACAAAATAGTCCACGCAAGAGTTTTGTGAAAATACTTGTTCACATTAAAATATAGATAACCATTACAAGTATATCAAAATGTTTTCATTTCATATGTACAAAAATAAATATTAAAAATGATTTCAGCGAAAATACTTGATATTTGAGGATGCCGAGTTTATGGAAAGCATGTATGTAACTTTTCTATCGTGCATTGCATCTTGTTTATTCATTCCAAATTGGTTTGAATTATATATATAACACGATTCCTTACAACTGCCAACAAAAAAGTGACTGCTATCATTATTGGTATTTAGAACGGACTGAAATCCTTTGAGAATGACTACAAGCCGTGAAATTGTCAAATTCCGCTGTTAAATTATATTTAACTAAGATTTTGAGATATTTGGAACGTTTGAGTCTTATACAGTTTTTTGGTTTTTAGACATATCATCAAAATTGGCTGCTGGAAAAAAGTGGCTGCTATCTTGATTGGCTGCTAAAAGTGGCTGCCAGTTTGAGTCTAGTGTGCATGTACGACAATGCTAGACCACACAGGGCAAGGATTGTAACCGAGTACAACAAGTACAAAGAGCAAGAAGCCATTGACACTATCTTTTGGCCTTCCATGTCTCCAGACATGAACCCTATCGAACATGTCTGGGATGTCATTGGCAGAAATCTCAATCGCACAGATCCACCTTTGCAAAATCTTAGCGATTTAAGAAGCGCAATTGTTGCTGAATGGAATAAATTTGCTCAACTAAAGTTCAGAAGGCTTGTACAGAGTATGAGACTCCGTGTTATGGAACTGTACCGGAAGAGAGGGTGTTGCACATCCTATTGACTCAAATATTGACATTAAATTTGCCGAACATACCAAAGATTATTTGTAGAGACTTTTAATGATATTGGGTGATTAATTGTTGTAAAAAAATAAAATCACAGTGAAACTTAAATTTAAATTCCGTTTCTGATTTGTGTAATTTTCACTATTTCTATGAACGGAAATTTCAAATGCATAGAACCTGCATACGTGAACAAACTCAAGTCTACGGTTTGTTTATGGTATATGTCAGCAAAATTGCTACATGAATATTTTCTCTTTTTCGAGGATTAACTGATTTTTTTAAATGAAAAAAATTTCGATGCAATAAAAATAGGTGGTGCTTAACTTTTGGCGGACTGTATATATGTAAATGAGACATTAAAAGAAATTTAGAAGTCAACATACTGTCATCACTAATATATGCGTGGCTATACAATATAGAATGGTGTTAATATTTATACATATGTGCACACTGTGCTAGTGTTTACGGCTCATATAAGAATAAGAAAATGTGGTATGGTTGCCATGAGACAACTCTCCACCGCGTCATTTAGGCTCTGGTGGATAGTTGTCTGGTTGATAATCATACCAAATCTCCTTATTTCATACTAACTACATAATATTTACCTGAGGCCTAAAACAGTTTTGGTAAATATTTCTGCTGAATACAGAGCCTGTTGCCAAGACAATGGAATCCGCAGACGACATAACTGCAGCGCTGATTGCCCCGAATCCTATGACCGAGATTGTCAATGGACATAAATATTCCATAACCATCGGTAATATAAACGCCCAATCTTCGTAAGATAATGTTGAATTTTGTGGATACGAAGTCATGTTCCAATCTGAAAAAAAAAAAAAGGATAAAAAAAAAAAAAAAAAAAAAAAAACCACACATAAATTAATTATGCTGGTACTAAGTCATTTCATTCGATTTTATGTGAGTCATGGACACTAACGGAAGAAGAATGGGAAGATCTATCATTAGATTCACAAAGGCTTTATACAACTTAACATTAATGATGGCAAAGGAATGCCATGAAATAACGAACAGTTTATAAGGACAAAGAAAAGACAAATTGGAAACAACGGATTAAAAAAAATATAATATTGCAAAATACAATACAGAAAACTGAAGCAAAACCAACTCGAAGCCTTCTTTAATAAATTGGAGTGTAATTAGGTGCTCCAATGGTAAGCAATTCTTGCTTCATTAGTGGTGCACGTGGGGTTACTTATGTCATGTAAAAATCTATTAAGTTGCATTTGGTGAAAGTCAGGAATGAGAAAATGACGATGGGGTTGTTGCTAAGACAAATGGAACTTTAGTGGACACAGATGTTCCATAAGTGTCCGTAAACTTTCAAAAGATGAAAACTATTAGTTCAATCGCATCTTTGTACGCTGCAATCTTCTATCCAGGATACCTATTCCAATAGGAGACACAACCCCTGGAAATGGTATCAACTGTTAGATATATATACAATATGCAGTTTCTGAACTGCATTTTAAAAGCAATTAATAAAGTACAAAAAAAAAATTTTTTTTTAAATTGTTGTTTACTTCATATGGCCACTTTGAAGCAAATTCTTCAAAATAATATATATTGTTTTCTAGATCAGAAAAAGGGCATTATCGCTGTTCGTGACTGTTGGGATCATAGGAAGTAGCTAGTACTATGCCGCCACTCCATCAGTTATGCAAGCATACGTTATTTGAAAAGCATGAGATAATACGAATCACATGGCCGTGCCATGTTATGATATTTTCAACATTTTGGCTTTCGTAATAACCAGTTATAACTACCATCTTGTTTTTACTTATCTACTGTATTACGAACTTATAAGAATTATCTTATAAATACCAGTGGCAGCACCAATAACACCAATAGCAGCAGGCGGTATCGCCATGAACACTGAAATACCGGCTCCCAATAACGCAGAATTCCGAGCGATGCTTACAGATTTACATGCTAAAATTCGTTGGTAAAACGCCTGAAACACAAAACTTAGCTGTGAATTTGCGTAAATTATGATTTATGAATAAAGAGACTCTTGCACTTATGATTGCTGGCAACTTTATGAGATTATTTGATAGATTGTTTCCCTTTATAGTCTGTAATGTTTTGATATAACCTGTGCCTGTGCGGTTCAAAGACGGAAGTAGCTTAATCGACATATAACAAGGAATTCTGCTGGTAACGGTACTAGGTCCATTTTGAACTTCTAGAGAGTGGTGATTTTTTTCTGTGTTGAAGGCCTCACTGTGACTAGACGAATAACAGCGCCGTTGCGCTGAATGATGTGTTCGTCTAAGGATTTTGCGGCATGAATAAATACACCCTATCCTTTCTTTTCCGCTCTAAAAATACTGGAAAGAAAAAACTCAAAGTAGTCGAAATATTTCAATTTACTATTGGTGTCAGTCCGTGTAATTAATTGCCGTTTGTATGTATAGTGTAATTCGATTTTTGAAGTCTTTTTTTTATGTAAAAAAGCATCAAACTTGTATCGAAGGGGACCCTTTTTCATATCAACATCCAGTAAGTACAACATATTGAATCAACCAGTGTATATTTTCTCTTATTATATGATTTAGTATTTCATACCTGCCAGGTAAGACATCCACCAACTGTTAGCAGGCAAGTATCAATATATATCCCAATTTGTTTACTATCTATTTCTCCCTTCCATGTATTACTTATTCTACTGAAATCTACCGCTGGATTTGTCCAGGCAAACGGTAGTGCAATTACCTGTAAGCATATACTAATAATGTATTTATTAGTAAAGTTTTTCGTTCATTTTTTGTACATAAATTAGGCCGTTAGTTTTCTCGTTTGAATTGTTTTACATTTGTCATTTCGGGGCCTTTTATAGCTGACTGTGCGGTATGGGCTTTTCTCGTTGTTGAAGGCCGTACGGTGACCTATAGTTGTTAATTTCTGTGTCATTTGGTCTCTTATGGAGAGTTGTCTCATTGGCAATCATACCACATCTTCTTTTTTATATAACTAATAATGAAGTGTTCATGTATATCCCATAACTGTTTTTAAGCCAGTATGTATACGTAGCAGTAAAACTAGTTTTATACTGAAGATCTATTATGGACCATCAGTAGTCATATATTTATTACTGGAAACGTTTTTAGACGTATGCTTTTATTATTTATTGCATTTATTATCTGCTAACTTTAAGTTTCTATTTCAATTCTCAAATAAATATATCCCAGATTAAATATCGAAAAAAATTGTTTATACTAACTTTCTTTTAGAAATCAATTAATTGATTACTTCAGTTAAAGTAATCGATATTAAACATTAAGTAAATGTATAACAAAGTCAATAATTTTCATAATTAAATCTGTTGAAAATTTGGCGTTTAATTTGCTTGATTTGTTTTTCAATTGGTTCTTCCATCCATCTTTGGTTTGTATTGTCCATAAGGAGTCCTTTTTTATAACTCAACACGTGCTCGAAAACAATACTACGGTGGGAAATAAAACTACAGTAGTGTCGCTCATATTGATATATGTGCATCTTGCACAATGGCCACATTATCATTTGGAAAATAATTCATAACCAAAATGTCCATTTTGCTGATCTGATATTGCTGATTTTTTTTCTGTTTACAATTTCTCTCTTTCTACTATGGATTTTTCCAAAAACGCAAAAACATGGTTTAAACATATTTCTTATTTGTAGATCTTGCATAGCTGATCATTTTTGCTGTTTACAGTTTATACTTATCTATTATAGTTCTTGAAAAATACGTCATTTATGAATATGTTTTATTTTGACTTTCAGAAGTTTACACCTTAAAGTTGTATATTTCTTGTATTTTTCAGGAATTATATTTCTCAAAGAACATTTGTAAGTAAATTTGTACGTACTAGTCCTATGATAATAAAGAACATCTGAATAACATCTGTGTAAGCCACAGAGTATAACCCACCAAAAAATGTATAGACAATAACTATACATGCTGAAACTATAATGGCAATGGACATTTCAATTCCAAGTATTATTGAAACTGTTGCTCCTGTAAAATAGAATTAAATTTTTTTTTTATAAAGAATGTAAGATATTAGATTTACACATGTAAATGTAAATACACAATTTAAAAAGTCACAGCCAATTATATAGGGAAAACATTAAATTACTGACTTCTGACAAATGTATGTAAATTACATATTTAATATTATGGACCTTGTCATTGACTGAACATTTGAAACAAATTACTGCCTACAGTTTTGAAATTTATTCACTCATTTGTTCATGTGAGTGTCAGTGACTTAACACAAAAACTTTATTAAACATGTCGTTAAAAACATTAATTTTACAAATTCTAATGGTGTTTATGATTTGTTTTGTTACTTTTCCGCCATCACTGTCCATTCTACTTGATTTTGATATTTTTATATTACTACAACTACTACAACCTAGTGCATTGAAAATGGCTGCTTCCCAGAATAAATCTCCTAATAATTCCGGAATGAAAAGTAGTCCACCAGTCCGATTACCATATTTTTCTTGTATTGGGTCAAATATGGTTGTATATTCTGCTTCTCTTACTTTTGGCACGTATACAAGTGCAGCTATAAAATAAAATGATACAAAACAATAGAATTATTAAAAGTATTTACTCTAAATTAACTGAAGGCAATGTCGATTTACAAAGTCGTGCTTAATACAGTAAAAGTAAACCTGTTCTTACGCACAGTATTGAATTTAAACGTTAAATCCTTGATGTTTGAGATGAACACACATTGCATTATAACGTATAAGTAATAAAATGAAAGTTCTCTCTCTTCCTACAGAAAATCATATCTGGTAATAAGATTTTTAAAGTATAATTTATTATAGTTTAGGTAATGAATCATATTTTTCAAAATTGTCTCCGTGAAGTCTTCCCTCTTCGGTATGTTAACACTTGCTTCCGTGACATTTTGGCAACAACGTCTGCACTGTGTTCAACGACCTAGACCAATTAAGATATATAAAACTATTATAGCTTGTTTCCTTTCCTCGTTGTCTCTATCTTAGGGTTGTTACACAGTACATGATGTATGGTGTCATGTATAAGGAATACCCTGCAGATCAGATATTTTTAGTTCGCCATTCGTAAAGGATGATAAATACTTACCAATGCAGTAATATCTATATGTTTTGTTTTTATTTTTTACGACAAAATATTTGACAAATATGTACAAACATTATATTTGTCATTCATAATAGCTAATGAGGAAACTTAATGTGTGTTTGATTTTTTTCCAAGTGTGCTAGTATAGTCTTTCCCGATACTGATACAGAGGTCGTACATACCTCAGGGAGGGGAGCACTTCCTATATACAAGGTTATAGGACGTGCCGCTGGAATAGGTCACATTTTCCAGCTTGAAAATATGTGAATATGTGGGGAAACTATCAGATATATGATAAGGTCAATAAAGTTTCCATCACTTGTGATATGAAAAGCTCTGTCATTTTTTTCATAGCCGAAAGTCTCGCCGTAAGTAAACATTACATAAGGAATCAATCTTAGCCTCAAATATTCCACTTTTCAGCACACTGCACGAAACCAAATCAATATGGGAAAAGGGTACATTTTTACCTACTCACTATATGAAAAGGTATCTGTACATTTTTAAGATCTAAATTATATGAAAAGGGTGGGGTAACAGAATCCCAGGGGCACCCCATATCAATTAAGTATTGAAGCCCCTCCCCCGAGGTACATACAGATACCCGACTAGAATATGTATACGTTCTGATGCTATAAAGTAAATGTCGGAAGGAAAAACAAAGGAATATGGTACTTCAACACGAATCATGTCAATATCGCCTTTTTAGCCTTAAAAAGTATATTTGGGATTTTTTTTAGATAGAATAATCATTTCAACGTAAAACGTACAATGTATCAATCGTGTCAATGTTGGTGTTCCAATAATCAATATTTTGTCTGTTGAACAGATTTATCTTAGATGATGTACCGAATATAACATGAATGATTGGCCAAATAATAACTACAGCATTTAATATGTAATAAAAAAAACCTAGACATATTAAAATGGTATGAGTTTTGAGATTTGAAACCATTATTCAATACATTTAAAGAAAATAAATTAAATATTTTATCATAAAATTAAATTATTTGGTGTTATTCAATTTCTGTTTTAGTTTATTGTATTTATTTTATAAACAAATCCTTTTGTTTGTGAATAAAATGTAACAGCAGTTTGATTTATGTTATAAATATTTTGTTGGAATTTAAAAAAAATTCTATTAAGCTAACTTATTAAAGGTCCACCGCTATGATGTACAGCCTTTATGTGCGTACGCAGTTTTAAATTGCTATCGAACAAACAAACAATTATAACCAATCAGAATATTAATGATTTCTAATATAGAGCATTAATTTAATATTTTGTTATCAACCACAAAAATCACCAACCCATGGAAGTCGACTGGTTTGACATATATAGTATAATGGACGATAATTATTATTCCAAAAGAGATCTGAGATTATATGATAAACTTTGCAAATATCAACGATTAAAAGGTGCAGCATTCTGTGGAATCATGACTGATATATAGCTGTGTTGTATTGAATGTTTATGTGTAACTAGGCAGGTGTAACATAAGTACTATGTAAAAATGAGGTTAGGTATAGAGACAGTTTTTGAGGCAGTCCACCAGCAACGCAATAAAAACAAAAAATCATCTAGACATCAACAAACAGTTTTCAACAGGCGACAACTGTCCTCAAAATATGTCAAGCTCTGAAACGCATGAGTCTAAAAAGGTTGTGAATAAATACATCTTCCTATTATTCAACATCATTTATTGATATCTATAGCATAGATCTTGCTTGTTTTTTTTGTTAAATTTATTGGCAACATTTTTATAGACTCTGGATGATTCTAATATTATTCAAAGATTGACATATTGTTAGACACCTATCTATTGTTGAAATTGGTGAATACTGTAGGTTGTCCTGAAGATGAATGGGTTTTGGTTATTTTTGTCGCACACTTTCTGTTTCATTGGCCTTTACCTTAAATCTCCCTTTATCCCTAGTTGTTCTTTGGTTATTTTTGTCGTACACTTTCTGTTTCATTGACGTTTATAGTTCGTTTCTATGAATATTGCATTGTTGTTTGTTTTTTGTTGCGCTTCTGTGTTCTGTTACTTCGTTGTTTTCCTCTTATAGTTGATGTGTTTCCCTCGATTTTAGTTTGTAACCCGGATTTGTTTTCTCTCAATCGATTTATGACTTTTGAACTGCGGTATACTACTGTTGCCTTTATTTATCCCACATCTCCATATATTTCTAGTTGTCTTCAGGTTATTTTTGTCGTAGACTTTCTGTTTCATTGACGTTTATCCCATATCTCCTTTTATCCCTAGTTGTTCTTTGGTTATTTTTGTCGTAGATTCTCTGTTTCATTGACGTATACCCCACGTCTCCTTTTTTCCCTAGTTGTCCTAATTTTATTTTTGAAGAAGACTTTCTATTTCTTTGATGTTTACTCCACATCTACTTTTTCCCTAGTTGTCCTTATGCTATTTTTGTCGTAGACTCTCTGTTTCATTGACGTTTATTTCATATCTCCCTTTATCCATAGTTGTCCTTTGTTGTTTTGAGTCATTGTGTTTGCTTTCTTATTGACATATAACCATTTAATTGTATTCTAGTGCGAGATTGTTCTGACGTCCGATGGCATATTTTAGGACTTATTGGGACTGTGGGACGTGAGAGCAATCTCGAACTAAATTTATTCATATGATGTCATCTTTCAGTAACTGGAAGCAATTATTATGATATTATAATTTTGAATAGTTTTGCTCAGAAATAATTACTTTACATAGATGTTTCATAAATATTCCATTATTTTGACTGGCAGACATATCAATGGCTGAATGTGCACTCAGTGACAATACAACGATGCGTAGGAATTATCAAAACATATCATACGAAAATCTTAGTGTTAGTTTCAAAATGTAATAATAAAAATTGAAATCTTCATTTTTTATGGCATGGTATTGGTTGCAAAAATTTGATATTTTTCATTTAAATGCAATATTTCTTATTTAATCGGTATATTTCTTCATTTAAATGCAATATTTTTTTATTTGAATGGTATATTTTTTCATTTAAATGCAATATTTTTTATTCAAATGGTATAATTTTTCATTCAAATGGTATAATTTTTCATTCAAATGGTATAATTTTCATTCAAATGCAATAGTTTTTATTCAATTGGTATAAAATGTCATTTGAATGCAATAATTTTAATTCAATTGGTATAGTAGTTTTTTATTTATATGCAATAATTGCATTATGGGAAATTCTTTAACGTCATAAGGTCAAATTTGCAACAACGTTTGTGATTGGTCGGAAATTGTTTGGATTTCTACTCTTTCTTTCTTAACATGGGTGACCAAGAATTAAAAAACGCGTCAGAATATCGCCCCTCTAACTAAATCTAACGTTCGTGCGAGTCCTGCACTGGCTGTTAAAATCTTGTGGTCATAACTTGTATTTCTATTGCAAAATTTCGATGGTCAAAACGTTCGGTCCACTTTTCAAAAACCGTTTCATTGTATATGGATTTATATGCAAGTATATCGGGTTTTTTTAAATAGATTAGACACCGTTGGTTTTCCCGTTTGAATGGTTTTACACTACTAATTGTTTGGGGCCCTTTATAGCTTGCTGTTCGGTTTGAGCCAAGGCTCCGTGTTGAAGACCGTACGTTGACCTTTAATGGTTTACATTTACAAATTATGACTTGGACGGAGAGTTGTCTCATCGGCACTCATACCTTATCTTCTTATATCTATATACAACGTAAACCAGACGTTTCTCAGACTTCTTTTTTTAATAAATTCTTTGCCGCGCGTTGTGTACTGATTGATAACTCAGTCTGGGAGAACAAGATTTATTTCAGTACTAGTTGTAATTAGGTTTGAGCAAACTTCCAGTAATTGCAAATACTCTTATGTCGGTGTTTTGTGTCTATTGTCTTAATGTTAGTTTTTTTGTGTGTCTCGTACCGATCTTTTGAGTTAATTTGCAGATTTGTGCAGGTTGTTATTTTTATTGTACTGTTACACCACTGTCCCAGCTTCGGGATGGGTTGCTCACAAACATATTGTTGTACTGTTACACCGCTGTCCCAGATTAGGGGGAGGATTGGGATCCCGCTAACATGTTTAACCCCGCCACATTCTGCATGTATGTGCTTAGCCTGTAATTCAGTGGTTGCCGTTTGTTGCTTTGTTATACATATTTGTGTTTCGTTCATTTTTTTGTACATTAATACGGCCGTTAGTTTTCTCGATTGAATTGTTTTACATTTTTGATTTCGGGGCCTTTTATAGCTGACTATGCGGTGTAGGCTTTGCTTATTGTCGAAGGCCGTACGGTGACTTATAGCTGTTGATTTCTGTGTCATTTGATCTCTTGTGGAGAGTTGTCTCATTTGCAATCATACCACATCTTCGTTTTTATATCCACCCTGCCATATTCTTTATTTGCCTGTCCCAGGAATGGAGCCTGTAGTTTAGTGGTTGTCGTTGGTTCCTGTCTCGACTCATATTTGATATTTTGTAAATTGTTTTGTTATGTATAATTAGGCTGTTAGTTTTTTCGTATGAATTGTTCACACTTTTCATGTCGGGCCTTTTATAGACGACTTTACAGTATCAGGTGTTTGTCATTGTTGAAGGCCTTACGATTGTCTACAAAAAGCATTTGTCTACATGACGGCAAAAAGCTCTACAGAGCTTAAGTTTGTAGTATTTCATGTAACCCGACTTAAAATAAATTTTTCTTATCTTATCTTATCTTATCTATAATTGCTTACACCCACTTCATATTTGAACTCCGGTGGATAGTTGCCTTATTAGCACTCATATTCCATCTCTTCATTTTTATATTATATACGTGACTTCTAAACACGTGTTTTCCTGAACAAGCATGAAATAATTTTCACTGGGCGTTAAAATTAGGAACAAACAATCAATCAATTTAAACTTGTGTTAAATAAGAGGAAAACCATTTGATATTTATTCATTTGTTGGGGTGGGGGACAGAAGGATTTCATATATGAATATGGTTGCCTGGTAAGAGCTGAAAAATAGGCATGATTAGCGACATATTGAAATGAATAATAATGCCCTCTCTTCCCTTCCCCATTCTTCATATATAGATTTAAACTGACCACCACGGAATAGCCCAATAGTGTTGAAAGTAGCGTTAAACACCAATCAATCAAAATCCCTTCCCTAGAATATCAAATAATTTTCCCTTAACTGTTATTGTCCGTGTAGTTCTTATATTTATCCAGCTTATCGTCCTACAGGGATGTCCTACTAAGGCTGTCATACCATAAAAACGTTTATAAAACAGCTCACATTCTAATAAATCTGCATTCATAAATTTATTAATTTCACTTTAGACTAAACGACGCCATGTTTGTAATGTGCCTCTGCCGTCAACCTATCAAAAAAAGAAGAGGTGGAAGAGAGCCAGAAGATCTTCCAAATGCAAAAAAAAAAAACAGAAATGGACTTCTTCTGGCTCACTTCCGAAGAACAAAAAAAAAAAAACGCGCCCCATTGATATGTTTTAAAAACGCCTTGCCCTACCCTTTTTTCCAAAAAAATGGCATTATTAAATATATAAACATATATATAATCATCAAAATTAAAATGCTATTGTATTTTTATAAGACCTACTTTATTACATGACCTGGGACTAATGACATCTATCTATAAGTCCTAGTCATACATTAATTATTATAATATGAATATGTTTCTTGTTTTAATAACCACATATGAACTTAATTCAAATAGTTTTGGAGGGGGGGGGGGTCAAAATTGCTGCAAGTTTTGTTTAATTAACATCGATTTTATATATATCCTTATTGGTCAATCATTTTTTCCAAAATTAAATTAAGAGGGGGGGGGGGGGGGTAGGGGGTCAGTGGAAAAAACTATATGAATTAAGTTTTTTTTATCCTACATTGAACTTTTGATGTCGTCCCTACATGTAATAAAAAAGAGGCTTAGTCCAAATAATTGTAACGTCCTGGATGCTTTTTATTCTTTTATCATGTGTGCCTTCCTGCAACGTCTCTGAGGATCAAGAAAAGTAAAAAATGATAAAGCACTAAAGAACGTCATGATTACATGTATCTGGACTTAGAAGGGGGAGGGGGCTAGCTATGTATTTTTTTTTTATTTCAATGTGTAGACTGTAGGAGAGTTTCTTCAGAAAAGGTTTTCATTGGAGGTGTTTTTGCCATGCACGCAGGCATCTGTTTCTATCCATGAACAAGTTGTGTGTCAAATTAATTATTATTACTTGTCACTCGCATTTTTTGCTCGTCCTGGCCATTATTGGCATTAACAGCCAGTGCACGAACTCGCACGAACGCCAAATTTAGTTAGAGGGGCGATATTCTGACGCGTTTTTTAATTCTTGGTCACTCAAGTTTAGAAAGAAAGGGGACTGGAAATCCAAACAATTACCGACCAATCACAAACGTTGTTGCAAATTTGACCTTATGACGTCAAAGAATTTCCCATAATGCAATTATTGCATTATAAATAAAAAAACTACTATACCAATTGAATAAAAAGTATTGCATTCAAATGACATTTTATACCAATTGAATAAAAAATATTGCATTTGAACGAAAATTATACCATTTGAATGAAAAATTATACCATTTGAATGAAAAATTATACCATTTGAATGAAAAATTATACCATCTGAATATAAAATATTGCATTTAAATGAAAAAATATACCATTCAAATAAAAAAAATATTGCATTTAAATGAAGAAATATACCAATTAAATAAGAAATATTGCATTTAAATTAAAAATACCAAATTTTTGCAACCAATACCATGCCATAATTTTTGTAGTTTGATAGAGTTTCGAAAGCGTTGACGAACGTTGTCAAAGTTTAGGTTCTGTGGTTAAAAGTTTTTAGACTTTAATAACTTTTTCAAACCTTCATGTAATTTTACGAAACTTGGACAGCAGTTTCTTCACGATCGAGACAGGATCCAGGTCATTATGAAAAAATAAATTGTGTTTTCTCATTTTCCGTTTCTAACTGATAAATCCACTTACACTGGCACTAATTTACTGTCTAGGGTCAAAGATTTTTTTACATCAACTTTGTAAAATCTTCATGGAAGTTTCTAAAACTTACACCACTTTTCAGCTATTTAGAGATTTGCATTATGGGAGGTCACCTCTATTATTGAAGAACTTTATTTGACTCCAGTTTTTTGTTGTTGACTGTGTTGTTGGTTTGGTTGCTAAGCCCTTTTTTTATTCATTTGCATTATTCCAAAGTTCTACAGAAATTCTATTTCTACTATTATAATCCCATTTAATTGTAAACCAACAGAATATTTTTTAACATATGTTTAGTTTTGCATAAGACTTAATTTCAGTTTGCCTGTCTAATATAAAGTATAATAAACAAACCTAAAAATAATGAAAGGTTATATCCAATTGGTCCAATGGTCCAGAACAGTCCATCTCTAGCAATTGATTCTGCTGTACCATTAATGTATGCTCCTCCAACCATTGTAGCTTCAATAAAATATACTAATTACTGCCATGCTGATGTTTTGCTTTCATTGTCTGGCGTTAAAGCACATACAAATCAGAAGATAATGAGACAACTCTCTACCAGAAACCAAAATGACGTAGAATAATCTAAATTTCTTTTTCTTGATTTATCAAATTCCAATAGGTTGGCCATGCTAGATTTACCCTACATTGAAAAAATTGTAATTGTGAGTATTTTTTTCTAATTAGTTTCTTTTTAGGACAAAGGTTCATTAGTCTCGGTTTGAAATCTACAAATACAGGTTACTTTAATCAGCCTATCACCACTGTGGTTAAACCCAGACTCAGTCCATTCACTTACAAATATGACAAAGAATACTCAAAATATTGGTGTGTGATCGAGTTCATCAGTTACATGCGATAGATTTACTGTTTAGGTTATTCTTTGCACTCTGGGTTATTAGTTTAATCATGAATTTTCATAACAAAAGGTTAGAAATGAATTATGTTGAAAAACGGAATTTTACTCTTTGTTGAGTTACTAAAGATTTTACTTTAGATCATATGTAAAAAGATTTATGATAATATTTAACCAACGATTATTATTATTATTAGGTGTTTCCATTTTTCTGTGGAAAGACCTATTGATTTTGTTCTAATTATTATTTTTTTTTCATCTTCCGCCAATTATTTCTTGCGTGTAAATTTTGTTTCGCAAGAAGTCGCTTAGATGTTTGGTATACGATATCGCACAGTTTATGCGCCTTTGAAAATGAACCTAATTGACCGAATACTTTTTTTTTGTAAGAGTTATCTCTCCAAACACTGTTTTCCTTGTGGTTGCATCTCTTCCGTACCGTAAAAGAAATCGACAAATTTATTTTACCAAATTGCTCGTTATATCCTCAAGATGTTTTGTCCAATTTTGACCGAAGCGATACGAAGACTCCATATGAGAGTTATTTCCCCTTCTGTATTTGACACAAGTGTTGTATTAATGTATCACATGAATGAAAAGTGATAGAGACCAAAGATTTTTTGATTTGAGTCCTTAGTTCTCAAAAATCAATTTGAGGTCAAGGTCAAAGGTCAAGGTTATGTTCTCAATATTGATTTGTTTTCTTCTTTAATGATCTTCTCTGACACTATTGAAGATATATATAAAAGAATTAGCGCAAAATGTTGGTTAATTGTGATGAAGATATGATACATTTAGTCTGAAACAATTCAATGACATCTTATGGGAGTTATTGCCCCTGAAATGTTTAAATTTAAGGTTAATTGATTATTACTTCAACTTGGTACATAATAAAGTCAAAGGGTCTCTTGTAAAATGTTGAGTGACATATGACCTTAAAAAATGTCAACCGGAAGTGACCCGGAGTAAACCGGAAGTAGCCATGTTTGCACTTATTTCATTGAAAAGTACCTAGAAACTATATATTTTTTAAATAGGCATATATAAACCTTTAATTTGAGACCGGAAGTGACCTGCAATAAACCGGAAGTGGCTAATGATATCCCTTATTACAGACAAAAGTATATAGAAACCATATATTTTTGGAATCAGTGAAAATACAGCTATCATTTGAGGCCCGAAGTGACATTTTCTAAACAGGGAGTTGGCAATTATCTCCTTTATTTTAGGCAAAAGTATATAGAAACTATATATTTTGGAATTAGTGTGAATAACGCTATCATATGAGACCGGAAGTGACATTTTCTGAACCGGATGTAGCAAATTATCTCCCATATTTCAGACAAAAGTATATAGAAACCATATATTGATTGAATCAGTTTGAAGAAATCTGATTGGATGCCAATAGTAACTTCGAGTAAACCGGAAGTAATTTCTTATCAATTTTTTTTTTATTTGTGGAAAGATCTTGAATTATTATTATTATTATAATTATTATTAATAATAATTTGCTTTGACTCAACTGCAAGCATACAATTTCATTTAAGAAATAATGATCAATGTAAAAAACAAATGAGAAAGTCCAAATACTCACCAGCAGTTGTTAATGTGGCAACAAACATACCAAGACTCCTACCAGCTACCAATAAATCATTTGTGTCCCCCTTTTTGTTCTTCCTTCCCGCCAGTAAACCAATAATCACAATGATGATGTAGAAAACAACAATACCAACCACACCTGGTATATTTACAACCATTATGGTATATCCTACAAACACAACAGAAAACTTTTAATACAGAAATCCTTAAAGATAAGTATTAAAATTAAGAACGGAAATGGGGAATGTGTCAAAGAGACAACAACCCAATAAAGAGCAGAAAACAGCCCAAGGCCACCAATTGGTCTTCAACACAGCGAGAAAATCCCGCACCCGGAGGCGGGCTTCAGCTGGCCCCTAAACAAAAATGTGTATTAGTTCAGTGAAAACTTTTCAAAGTTCTTCAAACTTTTTATTATGCATTATTATATCCTAACATCTTCTACAAATAAAACCCCAATTAACCCCCTGTCTGAAACAAAAGAATATTAGGTAAATCGTGCATCATAAAAGAAATTTCATTTGACCGACTTACGTCTTTAAATCGAGGTTAGTATGTCCAGAATGTTATCGTTGTCTCATTAAGATAGCTAGCTTTCCAGGGATTTTTCCTTCGCCTGTTTATTTCACACTATAATCATAGGATCTTCAAATTAGATGCCCACAGTCAAAATAGTATTCATATTACATTTGGTTTAAACAGTTAATAAAGGTTAAATATCCACTTTATCTGTCATTGAAATTACAGTATTATTTACCATGAAATCTCATACTTTGTTGGTTAAGAGTTCAGTGGTGCGAATGTTTTTAACATTTGTAAAGTACTTACATATTCATAATTCATACCACATCGTAAGCATCGAACGGTAAATGATTGGGTTTTTTTTCCATATCTGTATTGAAAATTTACTCGTTTGGCAGATAAGCTGAAATGCGATCTTGCAAGTAATGTATTTTATACTTTTTTTTGCTATATTACAGGTAATTCTATTTTTATAATTTATGAAATATTACAGGTAATGTGTTTTATATCTTGTGTATCCTTACAATTGAACATGTCAAATACATACAATAAAAAAGCTTGTTTGTAATAAATTAAAGAATAAGATGAATATGTTCGCAATATTTATATACCACTCCTTTGTCTATTTTATAGAAAGTTATATTAGTGTAAAACGTCTGTGTACAATACATTTAACGTAAGACATCATTTGACAAATTCTTTACAAGAATTCAAATTAACAGAAAAAGGAGTAGAAACAAACTATTGATAGACAAGTAAAAAAGAGGCAAAAGATACTGAGGGGATGTTCAATACTCATAAGTCGATGAAAAACTGACAACGCCATGGCAAAAACAAAAAGAAAAGAAAAAACACGACAAGCAAGTCCACAAAGCAGTACATAGAAAACTAAAGACTGAGCAACACTAACCTGACCCAAACCTGGGGTGAACTAAGGTGCTCCGGTAGGATTAGCAGTACATACTTAACATGTAGCACCTGTCGGTGTTACTCATTCGGTGATGAAACTATCGGGATTGTGGTAACGGGAATTGAAACGACACAGGTATTCCATAACGGTCAACCAACTCGTGATGGCGTCCATAAAACTTTCAAAGGTACAACTTCAACTTTACCACTTGGAATCCTTGCTTTAATAGCTTCCTTGTAATGAATAAAATCATGATATATAACACAAGCACTGGAATATCGTTTCAACTTGGTTTTTATGGGTTTTATATTGGAACAATTTGTTGTAGATGGCAGATTTTCAGTAGATTCTGTGTAATGTATTCTCACCTTTTATTTTTTATACTTTAACGATTTAGAGCATGGCATATTGTATAAACTTCTGTCTATTCTATAAAGTTGTACGTTAACTTCTGTCTATTCTATAAAGTTGTACGTTAACTTCTGTCTATTCTATAAAATTGTACGTTAACTTCTGTCTATTCTATAAAGTTGTACGTTAACTTCTGTCTATTCTATAAAGTTGTACGTTAACTTCTGTCTATTCTATAAAATTGTACGTTAACTTCTGTCTGTTCTATAAAGTTGTACGTTAACTTCTGTCTATTCTATAAAGTTGTACGTTAACTTCTGTCTATTCTATAAAATTGTACGTTAACTTCTGTCTATTCTATGAAGTTGTACGTTAACTTCTGTCTATTCTATAAAGTTGTACGTTAACTTCTGTCTATTCTATAAAGTTGTACGTTAACTTCTGTCTATTCTATAAAGTTGTACGGTATCTTCTGTCTATTCTATGAAGTTGTACGTTAACTTCTATGTGTCTCTTCGTGTTTTGTGTCGTTTGGTTGTTGTTTCATTGACGTATACCCTACATTCACTCTTATATATTTTGTTCCTCTCGAGGACATATCGTTTTTCTATGATGACTTATCATGGTTTAACCAAACAAATTCAAATCAGACACAAACTTTTATGTCATTTGCATAAACCAAACAACCACTCCAAAAAGACACAAACATACTATCAATTACATCTTATTTATCCTTTGATGACCATGCATTTAGGAGGTACAGTAAATAATATAAACATTTTCACATGCATTAAGGATATATATCTATGTTTCAAAACATTTCCAAACAGGCCTTTTCTATATGTTTCCGTTATCATTAATATGGAGAGATTTTCCCTTACTGAGACCGAAAAAAGCACTGCACACATGCAAATGCACTCAATGCTGTAAGAAACATTGCCATTAGGAATTCCGAATAAAAACATGCAATTTAGATGTGATAGGTTAACTATCGCTGATCCCTTTCTCTGACGTTCAACAACCATTACTACTCCCAAGTAAGAGAAATAAATTAATCTGCAATAGTTCAAAGTCAGATTCATGATTCTAGATACGGTTTTCAGGAAAGATCAATCTATAAACATTTATAGTACGAAACCTATATCAAACTTGCATCGCCCTAATACAACGGACGTGTTCACACATGCTTCAAAAATATCAATATTAATTTCGTGCGTCCAAAGCGCTTTTTTGGATCGACCTTTGTCAGGATTGCTCCAACCAAAACATTTGAAAGCCATAGAGGTATAAGACTAAAATACACGAAGAGCTGTATGACCAAAAGGGACCTACAAACATATCCAAATTCATCTTAAGTCAACTTGTCTGAGAGAGTTGGAACCTTATAGTTTCTCAATAATTTCTTAAATTATCAAGAAAAAGTTAAGAAAATTTTGTTATTAATCATGTCAGTTCAGAATCACTGGCTTCTAAGTTGATGATACTCTCGGGGACTAAGAGTCCACCAGCAGTGGTAGCGACCAATGATGAAAATAATACTAGTATTAATTGCATGCGTCCGAAGCGCTTTTATGGATCTACCTTCACCAAAACATTTGAAAGCCAAGGATGTATATGACTTAAATCTACACCAAGGTATGTAGATCTTCATGATCATAAAGGATAAAATTGTTTAGGATCAAGTTAAGACATGAATCATTTTAACCTGATAACGTTGTTAAAATGCATAGGCTATAGATATATTACTGAAAGGTAATGTAGGATACAACAAAACAACAACCCTTCAAACTCTTAATCGACAAAAGTCTAGAAAATTCTTAAAGCAAAAATTAATCTGTTTAACATGGATTTGCTATCAACACAAAATTCCCCTCATGACGTACATCATTAAGATATTCATAACTAAAGACAACCACTGAGGAGTTTACTTACTTAGGACAGGAACATGTACATGTGGCAGGTTAAACTAGGTTGTTGGTGATTTAACAAAAAGTACACAAAAGATCGTACAACAAGAATTCAGCGGAGAGAAAAAAATAACACATTTTACTCTATGATACCGGTGTAAAATATCAATAAACGCAACTAATAGTATGTAACAATAATAAACAATACCGTGTTAATGATCACAATGACATATGCTCGTAGATATAGCTTTCATCTTTTACGCCATATTCAAAATGTTTGGTGAAATAGTTCCCAGCGATGTAAAGATAAACAACCTTATTATAAATAGACATGATCATTCAAGAATATCAACATTACATAATTCGTTAACGATAGAAGTCTTCTTTGAAATAGAAAGAATATCGAACAAATGCTTATTTCTCTCTTTCTCAAATTATACTTTTTAAATGTACCTTACACTACTGTATTGCCTCAGTATATATTTATAAAACATTTAACATTGAATCGTATAAACCCTTAAGTAAAAAATTACTGCAATCAATTCACATTCCAATCCATCTATTACAAATATTTAGTTGTGAGAGTCTTCCATTGAAGACTACGCTGACTGTCAGCAGCAAAGAGTACGGAGTTCGTATGTAACACGCTTGTGGACATTGTAGAGCTTGTGCATGTTGTGTTTCTCAACCGATCATCACCGCGTATGATATAAGCATTCAGTGTAGGAATGCAAATCGAAATCCCATAAACTATATTATTCCGGGCATTCTATTGACAGTTGTGGTAAAAGAAAACACCGGGGTATATTTGCTACATAGAGTTTGGGTTTTTATGTCACCAGAACGATGCCCAACAACACACGTTGATACAGTAAATTGGTAGTGATTGTCCGCTATATTTCCCAGATCTTGGTAGATCAAATTATCCAAATAAACCTTCTTGTGGTAACAGTATTATTACAACACCTCAAATTAACGGTAGGCAGACAATTAGAAGCGAAAGTGTCGAAAATGTGTATTATGAAGTCTTAGATATTATAAATGTAGAGATTTCCGTTAAGTCTTGAGAAAGTTTTTTCTTTTTAATTTAGTAAATATATCAGATAGAATTTAGATGTCGTCTGTTTGTTTTAATCTTTGTGTTGTTGTTTCAAACACGTATACCCTTATCTCTTTTTATTTATTTTAACTTGTAGAATGAATTTCATAACAGCGTGGACATGGACACATAGTAATTTTAAAATGTTATCGTGTGTATCACTGGCTGTCGACAACAAAGACTTCACACAATTACAGTATATCAGGCAGGGGCCTCTTGATGAGTATAATACATAATTACTATCTTTACACATGTACATTCGTAAAATAAAAGTTTTTTCATGAAAGTTTATAGAAATTTATTTTGAATATATTTATATACTCAAAACAAAAAGTTTCTTTTGACAGAATGAGTTTATTCAGAGGTGATATCACCAAGTAATCGAGAGAAGAAAAAAAGAGCGTTACGTTTTTCTTGCATAAACGTTACGTTTTTTCTTGCATAAACGTTCTGTGGCTCCTTAAAAAAATAAAACATTTATTCGTACGAGTTGATGTAGAGTAATCTACGATCAACTTTTATACTAAGATTATTTTTGTTGGTAATATGAACTCCGGACCTTCATAAAAAAATCATTTTAGTCCTCTGGGCTGCATAATTTTTTGCACGGAACAAATTTGAATTCTCATCGAAGACTCCAACGATAAGATTTTCGTGAACATTTAAATATCATTCTAACAAAAAATAACTCGTGAAAATATCAAGAAGCATATGAATCTGGTCTTGTGTGCAAAATTTACGTTGATTGAAGTCAGAGTAGCTTTTGTGGAAACATTGATACATGTATTTATTTTAGATTTTGTTATACCTGAACACGTAAAACAAAAGTAACGGGATCAATATTCTTTTACTACAAATTAAGCAGGTAATATCAATGAAATTGGTCCGCTTACTCAACTATTTTTTTGGTTATTTGAGGACGCATATTTGAGACAAACCTGCATAAACGTTTATTTGCAATTTTATTCATGCTGATTTCAAAAGCCTCTTGCATAGCCACC